AAAAAAAAAAAAAAAAAAAAAGAGCCATGAAAGATATGCAAGAGCAACAAAAAGCCAGATGAGAGTTGTCTGCACAAAGATAAAAAAGAAAAGGAGGCGACCATATTAACATCAACCATCAGATTTTCCCTCCAAGTAATCCTTAAACCCCCTTTCCCATCAAAGTTCAAGAAGACATAAGCAAAAGATGAAATAGAATCGTGTACATATGCTAGGCCACCAACCCAAATCCTAAGAATGACAAAGTTGCATAAGAAAGAAACCAAGTTCAAAGCCTCTACCCATGCTACGAAATTATAAGTGAAACCAAAACGAAGTCTGAATTTCAGGCAGCATAAAGAAAATTAGCCGATATAGATTCTCATTCTGATACCTTAAATTGTGATCATATTCCAGTTTAATTACCATCCTCATGAACAATTACACAAAATCAGAAACTAAAAGCAAAAAGGCCCAAATCACATCCAAATAATCAGATCCCCAAATCCAAAACAAACCCTAACCCAAAACAACCAATCCATCGAGCCACCACAGTGAAAACTAAATTACCAAGGGAATCAAACGATTAGACAAAAAAACAAAGGATCAAACACAAGGGCAGCAACGAATTGAATCCGGATCACAAATAATTGAAACCAAAAACAGGAATCTCAATCCAAATATGAAGAGCGAAAAGAAAATTCGATAATGAAACATGGAAGATTAGGGTTTACTAAAAGCAGAATCCGATGGAATTCACCGTGGTAGGGTCGACGATGAGCTCGTGAAGAACTCGCTGAGTTCTAGCGCAGAAACAGAAGAGATGATCAAAGACGAAGAATTTGCGAATCCATTCGGATATTTATAGCCAGACAGCCACAGAGAAGGAAATACAAAACGCAGCGTTTCACCTGGGTGCTCGGTGACGAAGAGGTTATCTTGTAAGATAATGGGCTCACTTTATGGGCCTGGGCCACAATAAGTTTAATAAATTAATGGTTAAATTATAAATTATGTATCGAAGATAATAAATTTAATTAAAATATCCTTCCTTACAAGATCAGACAAACCATATAAAAAAATCTAAAAAATTAAATTTATCTTACAAAAAATTATCAAAATTCATTCAAAAAAAAAAATTAAAATTAAAAAATATTTTAAGCATTTTTTTTATAAAATAACAAATTTTAATTGAATAAATAGAGTGTTCAAATGACTCGATAACTCGAACAATCCAAATCACAACAATTAGATTTTTTTTATTTGAATTTTTTTAAAAAATGAAAAATTCGAGTCCATTTGCAGATTGATGCTCTTTTTAGTCGGGTCAATCCAACCACCCAAAAATATCGTTACAACCCAATCTAATTTTACTTTATTTTTAAAATTATTACCAAGATTAAGAATATTTAACATTTATAGTCGATATTAATAATGTGTTGTCACTCGTAAATATTTTATATCTGAGTTTTATGAGATTTTCTTGTTGTTATATTATAGATAAATAAGATATTTTTAACTAATTAAAAATAAAATAACAATTGGATTTTTTTTATATATATAAATAAAGCAAAAAAAAAATGAACACCACACCAAAATCAAGAGTATGAAATAAGTGACGTCACCAAACACAAAATAATAAATAAAAAAAAACGTTTTTATTTTAGCCAACAACATTCAAAATTTACCAAACTCATAAACTAAATTTATAATTTAACAGGAAACAAATAAACGACATCAAACACAAAATAATAAAAGGACGTTTTTATCTAAAATTTACCAAATTCACAGACTAAATTTATAATTTAAAGTGGAAGAAATAAGCGTCATCAGACACAAAATAATAAAAGGACGTTTTTATCTTAACCCACAGCTCTCAAAATTTACCAAATTTACCGACTAAATTTATAATTTAATGTGAAAGAAATAAACGACATCGGACACATTCAAAATTTATCAAATTTGAAGATTAAACTTATAATTTTACCCCCATAAATATATATTACTATATGTTAACCCATGTTGATGGGTCTAATAAACATTATAAAAATATTAGTGATGTGATCATAATAATGTCACGCTTATGCAAAACGGCGTCCAAATAGACCAATGCTTCTTAACACGTCATCAGCCATGCATGTGCGACGCTTTGCTGTCACTGCCACGTAGGCTGAACACTTTCCATATTTAAAATTTAAAGAAAATAATACAATAAATAAATTTCTATTTATTTAGGGTATCAAATACCAATCCAGGAAAGCGGCAATTGGGCATGTCGAACAAGGAATGAGCAAGAACAGGGAGGGTTCTGGGTCACTGTCATTTCATTTCCCCGCCAAAGATCTTTCCTTATAGATTCCTGGTTGGCTGTCGAGAAACTCAGAGAGAAACGTTGAGAAAGTGCGCCGGGTAATTTTCCATTCCGTCGCACAAAATGAGTAGCGGGGTTGCATCTTCAGTTTCCTCATCCCTTTTCTCGGTTGTACCCACTAAATCAAAGATTACCCATTGTTCATCTCCCTCTCTCGTTCGATTTCGATCCTCATCCACTTCCTCAAATCTCAAATTTCGACCGAATGGGTCTCTCAGATTCATAGCCAGTTGCAGCTCCGGTACCTTTAATCTTCGCCTCCTCTGTTTTTGTCTTCCAATCTGTTGTTAGTTATTGTTTGATCTGTTATTGATTCTGAGATTTGAGTGAATCTCTGCGTTCTTGTTGGGTTTTATCTGAATTTCATAAAACAATGATGGGTTTACTTCTCGTGTGGAGCTATCTGATTATTTGACTACAAGGTGTTTGATCTATTGTCAATGGTTTTATTTGGTGTGAAGTTGGCCTCATTTTGTTTCCTTTAACTCAATGCATTTCCTTGTTGAAGCAAATTGGTTCTCTAGACTAGGAATTCATTTTCCTTGAATATAACATTCTTTGGCAAATATAACATTCTTTGGCGATCTTATATTAGACTTTTGTATTTAGGTCTTTAACCATGTTCTTGTTCTCTGATTTCATGAAGAACTTGCTCAATAATATTCCAAACTGATAATCATAAATAGAAAGAATCCTACTTTTTGTCTAAATATGTGTACAATGGAATACCCATGTGCCCTTTTCATAGAATTTTCACTTCTCTGTATTTTCCTCATTGCCGATGTATTGAAGGAGAAAAAGTAGACAAGTTTAAGAAGATGATATGGATCTTATTAGAAGAAAATTCAGTGGAAACAGAGGAAAAACAGCTTTTTGGTTTCTGTGATCTTCGAATTTTGTTACTTTTATCAAGCATGCAATGAGCTAGCTGTATGATGCAGGCGATGGTGACAACAGGACTGTTCTAGATGCCTTTTTCATAGGAAAAGCTTTTGCAGAAACCTTAACTGAGCGTGTCGAGTCAACTGTTGGAGAGGTTTTGGGTGAGATTGGTAGGCTGCAAGCTGAACGACAACAACAAATTATTGATTTCCAGGTAGGGTACACCAAAGTAAATGATAAACTTAGATGCTGATATGAGATTCTGATTGTCATGTGCTTCCCATTTGTGTGGTTAATCACTAGTTTACTTTCATTTTCTTTTAAAAAATGAGGGCATAAATTTGCATAGAATCTCCTAATGTTGTTTTTAATTTACTGCATTGTGGTCTCCTGAACTACGGATTATACAAAACCAATGAACAAAAAAGATGGCTGTATGGCAAAGTCATTGAAAATCCATGGCTGGTGTTTCTGCAATGTTTTCTCTCTTGGAGATTAGCTTATGAAATTAACTACTTTGAGTCATAAGTATCTGATGAAACTGCTGTGGCTTAAAACTTTTTTATTGTAGTAGCACATTAGTCCTGGATTGGGATGTTGGTTACTGTTTCTGAGATAAACATTTATACTGTTCTTAAGCAAGTCGATTTTAACCTTGAACTTTAATGTCATCGAATTGAGCTCTAAACTTGAATGAGTGGTCAAATTTATAGATCATTCGACTAAGTTTTCGTTTCTTTTGAAAACTGTCTGGCTATAAGCATCATTATGGTTGGACGAGGTTCCTTTTGTGAGTACTTATTGTTTTGATTGTATTAGATATTATGTTTTCCTGATGGAGCTTGGCATTTTATTGCTAAGCTTGGTGGCTTTTTACTCGATTTTGTGGTTTATGTTTCGGTTTTTTATGGCTGGGATTTTGGCATTTTCGGTATTTCCTCTCAAACTAGACTGGCATGCATGAGGTGAATGAATCTCAATATTGAGAGTGCGGGGTTGTGTGCTATCTTGTCGGGGCGAGAGAAACAATTGGGAGTTCTTAGCGATGTTCGGTCTCGTATTAGATTCTCTGTTACTCTCTAGACCTCTGTTTCTGATCTCTTTCGTAATTATTCGCTAGGTCTTATTTCGCTTGACCAGAGCCCTTTCTTGTAGTTTCGATCTCGTGGGGTTTCTTCGATGCCCTTATGGACTAAAATACCGACACTCTTTTATGCTCTCTTCTTTTCTTCCTATGCTGAAAATGGCATGTTCTTACTTGAACGAGCTTTATATACAGGAGGAGGTTATAGACAGAGCTAAAAAGGCCAAGGAAAAAGCAGAACGTGATGCCAAAGAAGCACAAGGACCCATCTCCTCTTCGATAATATCGGCTACGATCGAAGTTACTTCTTCTCCAACTGCTTCGAGCAATGGACAACAACGCTCAAGTCCGAACGCATATTCAGAAACTGTGGTGAATCAAGATCCTCCTCGTGGTGATGAAGAGTAATCGTCTTGTCGATTTCTCTTGGTTATACACATCCAGTGATTGCAACCTGTTGTCTGATGATAAGTTAGTTATTTGGTCTTAAAATCATACCAGATATTGTCTTCTTAAGGTTTGTCTATTAGGTATCTTATGAGTTTCTTGGTGTCGAATAATTCAGACCGAACAACCAGTTACGATCGTTCGATGTGTATTAGTAAATCATCTATTTTCTTTCATCCGAGCAGACTGTACTTGAATTATTTGGCTGATTTTCACAGCGTATCTTTCATAGTTTGAGCTTGATTACTTGTTTCAGTGACGGTATTGTAGTCAATTTGGTGAATATGCATTTGATAGTGTGCTTTTAAATCTGTTTTTAGAATCTATGATCCCAATAGTGCGAGTTGAAATCAATATTTTCTAGAACGGTTGATTGGATAGTCGAATTCAGAGTCTAAAAAAAGGATGTAGGATAATACCGAGGCCATCAAATGCCGAATTCGAATTTTAAATTCTGATCCGAATTATGGACATGAAACACACGACAAATGGTCTCAAAGTCACGTCCCATACATTAGAAATATTGGTAAAATCATCGGGCATCGAACAACGAATTTGTAAATCTCGAATGTGAGCTCACAGTGGAGATCCGAACAATTGAGCTCATAATGGAGATCCATGGTAGTTGGCTCAAATTCAATTGTACATCGTTTGAAGACGTTAGCTAAATTATAGGAAAATCATAGATACGTCAGTAAGTAATACTATCCATACTATTGTTAATGGGTTAATATTGTTGGTATCAAAAATAAATAAATAAATAAATATTCCTCTCAAAATATTTTTTTTAGTGTGAAAATATGATTTTAGAAGCTATTAGATGTTAAAATTAATTAACTAGGCCGATTTTTCTATATATATACATACATGTATATAAATGTATATATGTATATACGTGTATACATGAGAACTTTAGGTTAAGAATTTAAAATAACCGGTGGAATCATGTTGAGTAATTAGACCATGAATTGAAAAAAAAGAAAAAAATCATTCTTGGTGTTTGTGATTGGGCGAAGAAAGAGTCTGGTTGATGAATGGAAAAAGGAGTACGCACATTTCTAATCCTCATCTTCTCCAT